TGAAGTATCCACGGGCCCAGGCGGTCGCAGTTTAGCCAGTCCCTGTCCTGGTGCTCCTCTTTCCTTGCTCCAGCCCAGGGCTGGGCCAAGCTGAGGAGAGCCCAGGCCTTGAGGGTGACAGAGGTGACCAGTTCCAAGCTCTGGCTGCTCCCCAGAGGCGGATGAGCGAAGCTGTATCAGCCAGGCCTGTCGCTCAGAGAAGGAATCACTTCTCTGCTGAAGAGGTGGGGTCAGAGTAGTCGGGTACTAGTCCTTGGTTTGCCTAACTCTCCCTTTGTACAGGCAGTCTCCTGGAGTCCACAGGGACTTCCAGATCCCAGGCAGAGCCGGATGTGACAGGGACAGAGCGAGAGCTGTCATCCTTAATCCACCTTCTCGCTGCTGAATCACAAAGCCTCCAACAATTACGTGTATTTAGTTGACCCTGGGAGTGGGCATAGATTCCAGTCGTGTTGGAAAGGAAGCCTCCTCTGTTCCTTGTTCCCCTGGGGACTCCTCGGGGACGGCATTGGTCATGCTGAGAGCGGGAAATGGCAGGGGCAGGAGCCGGGTCTCTCTGGGGAATCATCATCTTCAGCCCACCGAAGTTAGGCACCGGACACAAATGTGCGTCCACATCCCGATTCCACTATTGCCCTGAAAATCAAGTGTTCATCACGCTATTAATCGATGCCTGTTGTTGTGGCATTTATCACAGTAAGGGCCCCGGCTTTAGAGTGAGAAGACCTTGGGCAAATGACTTCACTTCTTGAAGCCTCAGTTTCATTGTCTGTATGATGGGAATAATGTAATCTACCCACAATAGGATAGACGTGAAGCTCAGTGAGATAAACACCTGGTATGTAATAGGTACCTAGAAAATGTCAGTTTCATCCTTTCTTCCCTCAGGGTGGCTTCACTGAAGGAGACGGTTCAAGGACGGGGGTCCTCCCGGCAAGCTCTGTGCAACTGTTGCAAGACTAGCTCCTTGCTGGCCCCTGCATGCCTCATGCTGGACCCCAACATTCAGAGCTGGGACTTGAGCTCACAAGACTGGGGAGCTAAGGCGTTCATTCTCTTGGGTCTCGCTCTCTGTGTCCCTTGTGCACTGTGGCTGGCTTTCTTCCTACTGTGGTCCATGCGCCTGCCACGAACACAGGGCCCTTCCACATTAGGGCCGATGGCGGTTCTTTCCGCTCTATCTCATTACCCTCTAGGGGCCACGGGACCCTGCGGCTGGGTCTGAGTACTCCTGAGCTGGCTTCAGCTGCAGAACCCTCAGTCCCTCATCAGATCAGGACTGTGTTTCTCCCATCAGTCTGGGGGCTGCACAAGAGCAGGACCACCCTCCTGCATCATCCACTTCCAGATCAGAGACTCTGCCAGACCAGGGACTGTCTTCTCGGCCATTTATTGGTCTAGCATTCCTTTACTAAATTCCAGCTCTATGTGCAGACCTGGGTTAGGCACTTCGGATGCCGCATGAATAAGACAAGGGCCTTGTTGGTGCGAAGCTGGTCTCAAGGATCGGGCTTGGAATGGGCAGGGCCAGATGCCAGGGGGCTGGTTCTGGGCCCAGGGGCAGGTATAAACCAGGACAATCAGCTGCTGTATACCTGTATGACCACTGCAGTTGCCTACAGCCATATCCACCCGCGCTGCACTGGCTGGTAAATGAATGTCACTTCTTTTGAGGAACACAGCGTTCCTCTCTGGCTGTCTATATCATACTCCCCAGCCAGGAGGTAGAGTAGGACTCACCTGCAGTTGCCTATCTCCTTGACTTAGCAAGAAGGAAAGGAACCATCTGGGTTGACTGCTCCCCACTTCTCCTCTTTCTCTTGGCCAACTCAAGAGGAGCCTTCTAGTCTGGAGAAGTGAGGGGCCCAGAGAGAAGGGAGAGTGATAGAAATGGGGGGGGCAGAGATTCAAGGTTCTGCTTCCCAGTGCCAGAAATTGCACCGTTGCTCAGCCCTGATTAGAAAGCAGCTACACCTAAGCCGTCGTCAGCCACTAAGATCACAGCTTTCCTGGGTGCTGGGCCCCGGCAGGGACGGGCCGGGCCAAGCAGGGGAGGCCAGAGAGTGCCAGTGGCCACTGTAGTGGTCTGGTCAGGGAGGCTGGGCTGCTTACCCTGGAGACCTGGCTGCTCTGTGTGGGTGGTCTTTTGAGCCCCAAGTGTCTGGTTTTGTTCATCTCAGACTTGTTTCACTCATCTCTAATAAAGGATTTTGGGGGTAAATTCCAGTGGTTCCGTTTATGTGATCTGAAGAACATCAGGGAAGGGAAAGGCATCTTGGAGCTCAGAATTCTTTCTCTGGAACTGACAAGGGAGACAGGCTGGTACGGAGCAGTGGTTTGCAACGGGGGCGTTTGCCCCAGGGGATGTGTGGCGAAGCAGAAGGCAGTTTTGATTGTTCCCAGCTGGAGGGTGCTACTGGCGTTTAGTGGACAAAGATCAGAGAAGCTGCTAAACAGCCTGCAGTGCGCAGGTCAGCCCTGCACAACAATGAGCTATCTGGGCCAAGATGTTAATAGTGCCCAGGCTGAGAAACCCTGGAAAGAGCACTGGACTGAGAGTCTGGAGACCTGAAGTCCTGGCTCTACCGCAGTGCCTGCCGTGGTCCTCTGCCACCATCCCTGTCCATTGCCCCTGAGACAAGGATTTGGGGGCAAGTGGTTTATTTGTGATCCCAGGAAGCGTAATGAGGGAATAGAAAGGTGAAACACGGTGAAAAAGCGACAAAGGATGTGTTAATTAGGGGTTACCTCTGTGGGCAACAAGGGCTTAATCTTGTTGGGGACCTGTGAGATGGTATTGATTAGAACATGCCTTCAGGTTGTCCCATGGAGAATGAAGAAACTGGGTATTTACCACCAACTCTGGTTTCTTGCTGGTTGAGGGTGTCCTTTCTGCGAGCATCAGTTCCCTGCCCACCCCAAACCCTCAATCAGAGAAATGCGGGAAGCTGTCCCAGGTGTGTCCAGGACTTGTCTGCAGGTGACCTCCAGGGTGGACAGGTAGGCGGAAGGGATGCGGTGGGTACCAACAGGGTCTGATACAGCCGAGCGTTGCAACCCTGGGTAGATCATCACCCTCGTTGGGCTTCAGTCTTCCTGTCTGTACAATGAGGGGGCTAAACCCTGTGTTTTCTTAGGGCCCTTCAAGCCCTGATGTAGGAGTCTCGGCTTCTTTTGATGTCACACAGCTCAGGGTAGAGACTGGGTGGAAGTTTTAGGAAAATCAAATCTGTTTTTTTAAAAGAAGACAAACCTAAGTGGCCACAGGCTGCTGTCCCCTCAACCCATAGCAGCTTGGCTGGGGGTTGGCCAAGAGGCCTCCCAGAATCCCAAACCATTAAAGTCTAACCTCCCAAATGTGGCCTACAGCTCTGAGTGGTCAGGCCCTACCCACTGTCTCCCCACACTCTCCTCACCTCTATGCTGCAGCCACACCGATTTTTTTTGGTTCCTTCAACACTGACATGCCAAGTACCCTCCCATCCCTGAGCTTTGCACATTCAGAGGTCCAAGAGGACTGTTTTGTTCCTTTCTGGATGCCCAGATCAAGAACTGCCTGGCACATAGTAGGTGCTCAGTAAATATATGGTGAATGAATGAATGAATGCTTCTTCCTCTCTTACGCGAACACTCCCTTCCTCTTCCCTCTAACTCCCATTCTGCAATTCAGCCTAAAGTTTAAGTTTTGTTTCTGCAGAGATGACACCCCAACTGGTGCAGGTCCCCTCAGAGGTGTCCTTAGGGTGTCCTGCACTGCTTCCCTGCCCCTCACGCCCCTGTGCTAAGTGCAGTAATTGACCATGTCTGTATTTCCTTAAGGTTTCTCTCACCCGTAGACTGTGTCTCAAGCTTGCTGGGACTGGGTCTGTCTTGTTCATTGCTCGGACACTCAATACATATTTGTTGAATGAATGAAAAAACCCACACCGCCCTACCTTGATCCCAGTCACATATCAGCAGTTAGAGTATAGGTGTCCACACCAGACTGTGACCCAAGCTGGGATAGGGTTCTCAGGAAAGTCCAGAGATTTCACTGGACACCCCGAGCCACAGCTCCCCAACCTGAACACACTGAGAACCACTTTTCATGCCTCCCCTCCAGGTCCCCGAGCCCCCACCCCCCCACACAGGAAGATCATTATCTGTCAATTAAACGCACTTGTTTAGGAAGAGCACTGGGTCTGCAGTGGATACCTCAAGAAGGTGCTTCCACAGGAAGGCAGATCTGTGCACAGCTGGGGGAGGTGGCACAATTGCGTTTCCTCCCCCGCACCAAGATGACCTTCCAAAGCCAACCCCACTGGGAAGGCACTGGCCTGACCCTGAATAAATAAAGGGCACTCATACACCTGGATCAGTATTTTTCAAAGTTTGATCCACTTGAAAATCTCCAAGCCCTCACTACTCAGAGTATAGTCCTGGGACCAGCAATTCTTGGGAGTTTGGTAGAAATGCAAAACCTCACTAACAAAGTAGACTGGGCAAACTGAGTTCTGGGTTATACAGGCCTAAACAGAGAGCCTGGATGCCCGCGGCGTGCACTGGCCGTGTGCACGGAGTGAGCACAGGTTAAGTAAGGCAGGGCTGGATTTAATGACCCGCACAAAAGCTGGGACCTGCGCGCACCGAGTCGCCTCCACTTGGGCATAGGCACGGAGTCGGGTCCTCCGGCTTTAAGCTCCAGCCCTGCAGAGACGCGGAAGCCAGAACTCTTCCCCGAGCTCCTGGAGATTTCCTCTATGCTGCAATCACCTCTTGTGGCCCGGGACAACAGCCTCCCTGACCGCCAGAGAGCCCTCCCCTCCTCAGATCTCCCTTCAGCCCCCCGACACCCCGGCAAAGGCCGGAGGTGAGGGCCCTCTCCCACAGCCGAGGCCCGACCGGCCGGCGCTGGCAATCTTTGCCCGGGCGAGTCCTTGAAGTCTATATTTAGTGCAGCCACCCCTCCCCCCCACGGTTGGAAGGCGGGCGGGCGGGGTGGGGGGCGTTGTGATGGGGGAGCCCCGCCCCTGCCAGGCGTGTGTGTCTTGTGTGTTTGGGGCCCGCGCGGGTTGCGCGCCCTCCGCCTTGGCGCCTCCTGCCGCTGCCCCTGCGCCCCTCGCCCTGCCGGGCGTCGCGGGCCAACATGGGCCAGGAAGAGGAGCTGCTGAGGATCGCCAAAAAGCTGGAGAAGATGGTGGCCAGGAAGAACATGGTGAGGCTGCAGAGTCTGGGCCCCGGGCCCCGGCCCCCGCCCCCAGGAGGCGCGGCGCGAGCGAGGTGGGGGGACACTCCCGGGGGCGCCTGCTGGCTGGGCGCCTGGCAGGCGAGTGCGGGACTAAGGGACCCGAGGGAGGTGTGGCTGGTGCAGGACTCAGGGCCCCTTGGGGACACTTGCTGGGCACCTCGGGGTGGGCGTGTGCATGGCCCGGGGTGCCAGGGGGACCGTGCTGCCCGAAGGAGCGACTTGTCCACGTCCCCCTGGACGTGTAGGGTACGTCCCCGGGCAGCTTGTGCAGAGCCCGGGAAAGGGGGCAAAGAGACCTGGACCCGGGAAAGGACTTTTGGAGTCCCGGGACTCAGGCGTGTGCAAAGCCCAGGGAGCGGTGGTGACAGCGGGGAGGGGAGGGGGGCCCAAATCCTGGGTGGCCCGAGAAGGGGCAGAGAAACGGGCTGAGAAGAGGTGCCAAGCTGCGTTTTCCCCGCACCCCGCGAGTGGATCTGCGGGAGAAGAGCAAAGAGCCACGATCCCGCGACCCCACGGGCGTGCGGTGCCAACACTGGTTCTGCTTGCAACTTTCCCTTTCCTTGGCCTTCGGGTGGGGCCCGGGCGGCGGGGGAGGGGGGCCGAACAGGTGCGGGTGTCCGCGGGGTGGGGGGGGTGGCGGGCTGGAGGCTTGGGCCGGAGGGAGGAGGGAGGAGGGAGGAGCGGGACTCCGGAGGCCCAGAGCGACTGGAAGTTAATGTTTCATCTCCCGTGATCTTTGCCTCGGGCTGGCGGCTGCCTGGTCGCCTGGCCGGAGCAAATTTGGCCTTGAGTCCTGGAGGGCCTGGGCTCACCCAAGGAGGGAAGAGAGCGGAGGGGGGCCAGGTAGCCATGCCCCTCCACCCTGCCCTGTCCCAAGGTCCTCTTCCTCCCCCCATCCATAGCCGTGTGCTGCAGCAGGACCTGCATTTCCAATACATCCTGTGACCCTAGGAGCTTGAAGGGAGAGACTCTAAGGAGGATTTTAGAGCAGGGAAGAGTGGCCAAGGCCAGAGAGAGGGGTCGCTGGAACCATGGGGACCCCAGAGTAGACACTGTGCAGTAATGAGTTGGTGTCCGCGTAAAAGCCAGAACCGCGGTTTCTTCATCCGTAAGAAGGAGATGAGATTACCCGCCTCAGAGTAAGGGGTGCCACTGGACTCTTGTTTCTGCTGGCAGTGGTGAGGGTTGAAGAGACAGGTTTGTAAAGCCCTTAGTAGGACTCGGCCTGATGCTTGGTAAGAGCTGGTGCATGAGATCTGCTTCTGCACAGCCAGGTGAAACACAGAAAGGTACAGTATAAACCTGCGGAGTGATGGGAGCGTCTCACCCTTACACCCCCAGCCTCCACCCACCCCCATTCCAGGCTCCTCCAAGATCCTCAGTACAATTTAGCCTCCAGTCATGGGGTGTCCTTTCCCAGCTGGGGGTGGCACAGCCCAGCTAGGTATTCTGAGCTGAATTCCATTTCAAGTGGTCAGGTTATCCCAGCCCAGCCCCTTACTGAGCTCAGGCTTGGGCCAGGAAAGAAATTCTGGGCTTCTGGGTGAGAGGGGTAGGGTGGGGTGGGGAAGCTTAGGAGGCCCAGGGAAAGGCAGCCGGGATGGGGTAGAGCTCTGGCTGAAGAGGAGGGGCCCTGCGTTGGCCTCCCCCTCACTCCTTTTATGGCCCTAGGCAAGTGGTTCTACTTCCCTCTCTGGGCCTCAGTTTCCTCTTCTGTGAAGTGGGAAGAGGAAATAGTGTCCCTTGGGAATGGGTTCCTGTGGAAGTGCCCAGAGCCGTCTCTAGGAAAGATGCAAGTCTGGCCGCGGGAAGCCTGCAGGACGGAGCCAGTTTACAGCCACGTCTGCGCCTGGGCTCTTGGCAGCATCTGGGTGGGCACTGACTCCGGGCATCTGGCCGAGAAAGGTGGGGCCTGCTCTGCGAGTGAAAGTGGGCCCGCCCAGCGGTGGTTAGGCGGAGGAGGACACACTTCCTGAAATAAGACGGATCCTCCACGTTGCAGCTCCGGCCCGGGGTTTACTGGCAATTGCTGGAGTCCCAGCAACTTGGGGCTTTGCCAGATGCTCAGAGCGTGCACCAACTCAGACAGCTTCAAACCTACAACCAGTACCTACAGTCGCAGCCACACATGCATGTAACTACTCATTAACAGACATAGCTGTGCACACACAGCCACACACAACAGTAGCTAAACAAGCAACTACAAACCTAACTGCATAGGAGGCACAGCTACTGACATGACACACACTGACCATTACGGTTATAGGATAATGCACAAAGACAGCCACACACATGTGTGCACACAACACAGCTACAGCCAGACACGCAAAGCTAGATACTTAGCAAACAGCCGCATTTACACGTTCAGACATTATAATACAGACATCATCCCACAAAAACAAACAGACACAGTTGTGCCTCAAGCTGCATACTCATAGTTCCTGGACCAGAGATACTGCTGGCTATACATCCCATGTGTGTATTCAGAGAGACACACCCAGCAACATATGCACAAGGCTCTATGAACTCAGCCACAACCCAGGCTCATGGCCATTCTTCTCTAATGTGACCCAGTTATTAATATGTAGCTGTGACACACAGAGGCATACACCCAGTGGTGAGCTGGAACTGGCTTAACATAGATTGTGAATTGGAATTTTGCTAGCTGGTTGTTAAACACAGCCATAAATTATCTACTTACGATTAAATAAATTATGTTAAAAACTAAAATCCTCCAAAATCAACACTTTCTAGTTATTTTACTACATTTTACTATTATCTATGGTCTAGAAGTAATTTACTTCTATTAGATCTATATGGCGGAAATAATATATAATGGTATAGGACTGCACATCTCTTCCAATACCTCCTTCAGTTCAGTGATGGCACGTTGGTGGATTGAAAGTGGCCATGGGAGGAGTATTTACACCACAGAAATTGGCAAAAACTGCAAGTCAGTTTTCTTCTTTGAGAACTGATTGTTGTTAAGTATTGACCAGCACACCACTGTGTTTTGTTTACCAACGTTGATATTTCACGATTGTAGATGTCTAGACAGAGCTATGCCCATACCTACGTAGTTGTGTAGTTGTTAGAGCCCAAAAGGCCTGCATTCCAGCTCATCTCCTTACAAAGTGTGTAGCCTTGGGCAAATTACTTAACCTCTCTGTTTCTTGGATTGCTATTCTATGACAATGGATAATAATTCTGTAAAAACGGGATTGTAAACAGGACCTATCTCACAGGGTTGTTGTGAGAGTTAAACGAGATAATACAAGTAAAATACTTGGAAGTGTGCCCAGCACATCATAAGCCTTTAATTAGTGGGACACGTGGAGTTGTACATCCCCAAGTTCACATGCACACTTATCTGCAGGTCATACCTCTGAAAACGTACTGTGAACCCAAGTTCTAAGGGAGGCTAAGGACTGACAGAGGGCAGCCCTTGGGACATGGTCCAGGCCTGGCAGAGTGGGGGTTGGCGGCTGCAACCATGAAGTGGGAGCCAAGGAAAGGGACATACAGGACACAGTCAGCTGGTGCTCCCCAGGTAACTGTCTCAGGACAGGAGGCCAGGGCTGACTCCTAGGAATTGGGTGGGAGGAAGGAAAAGGCTGAAGTGGGTCAGGGGGTGTTTAGGGCCTGGCGACCTGCAGATTTTCAAATCCGAGCCTCCTTTTTCTCCCTCTCACCTTCTGCTTTGTGCTTTATTCATTCACAAATTCATTCACTCAGGGAGCACTGGGCTCTATGCTGAGCCCTAAAGTCTTAGACATTAAAACAGTTCTCTTTACTCAAGAAGAAGTGAAAGTATTTGTCCACACAAAGATTTGAACATGGGCTGGGCACAGTGGCTCACATTTATAATCCCAGAACTTTAGGAGGCCAAGGTAAGAGGATTGCTTGAGGCCAGGAGTTTGAGACCAGACTGGGCAATACAGCAAGACCCTGTATCTAAAAAAAATAAGAAAAATTAGCTGGGTGTGGTGGTGCATGCCTATAGTCCCAGCTACTCAGGAGACTGAGACAGGAGGATCACTGGAACTCAAGAGTTTGAGGCTGCAGTGAGCTATGATGATGCCACTGCACTCCAGCCTGGATAACAGAGCAAGACCCTGTGCCCTGCCAAAAAAAAAGACTTGAACATGAATGTACCTAGAACCTTTATTTGTGGTAGCCCCAAACTGGAAACTATCCATAAGTCCCATCAATAGGTGAATGGATAAACAAATTGTGGAGTATACATACAATGGAAAATTACTCAGCAATAAAGAGGAACTGTTGATCTACCAGTCAGCATGGATGAATCTCAAAGTGATTATGTTGAATGAAAGAAGACAAATTAAAAAAGAGTCCATGCCATACATACTGTTTATATAAAATCCTTAAAAATATAAGGTCACAGCCAGGTGTGGTGGCTCATGCCTGTAATCCTAGCACTCTGGGAGGCTGAGGCGGGATGATTGCTTGAGGTCGGGAGTTCGAAACCAGCTTGAGCAAGAGTGAGACCCCGTCTCTACCAAAATAGAAAAAAATCGGCCGGGGTGGTGGTACGTACCTGCAGTCTCAGCTGCTTGGGAGGCTGAGGCAGGAGGATTGCTTGAGTCCAGGAGTTTGAGGTTGCTGTGAGCTGCGATGACGACACTGCACTCTACCCTGGCGACAGAGTGAGACTCTGTCTCAAAAAAAAAAAAAATACAAGGTCAGAAAGTGACAGAAAGCAGAATTGTGATTGTCTGGTGTTGGGGTGGGGAGGCACGGATTACCAAGGGCCATGAGGAAACTCTGGGGATGGTGGCTGTGTTCTTATCTTGATAGTGGTCATGATTTCACGGGTGTGTGCATATGTCAAAACTCATCACATTGTACACTACAAAGTGTGTGGTTTATTACATGTCAATTATACCTCCATAAAGCTCTTTAAAAAAAAAAAAGAAAGCCCACAGTCCTCACCCTGCAAAGCTCACAGTTGGGAAGTGAGGGTGGCAGGCTAGAGCCAGGAAGTAATTCCCTGTGGAGGGAGAGATGGGGAAGGGGAGGGCATGCCTGGTGCCAGACACAGCGGAACCAAGGCTGGAGCGGTCAGGGTGAGTGGTCAGGGCGGGACCCCAGCTCAGGGGTTTGAACCCAGCTGGGAGGTGGGGGACAGAATCTTTCCCGTCTGTCTCCTTCCTCCCGCCCCTGGCCTGTCCTTCCCCACTTGTCTGCATCCTTCCACCCCCTCTGCCCCGCCGAGACCACACAATAGTCAGAGGAGGCCTGGGCAGAACCCCGGCCTCAGTCCTCGTGTTGTGGCCTCCCACAGGAAGGGGCCTTGGACCTGCTGAAGAAGCTGCACAGCAGTCAGATGACCATCCAGCTGCTACAGGTGGGACAGGGGCAGGACGCCCTTGGGGCAGTGCCTCTGGGGAGGAAAAGATGCTGGGGGAATCCTCCAAGGGTGGCGTGTGAAAAGAATTTCCAAAGGCAGGTGTGGGGGAGACAGGATTTTGAGGTGCAGCCCTCCTAGAGTGGGGACTGAGGGAGACTCTGAGACATCCTGTTGGGGGCAGGGTACCCTCCACGCACAGGCAGCTGCTAGGTCTGGGAGGAAATCTGGTTTGCTTTCCTTGAATATCCCAATTCCCAGGGCCGTGCGTCTGTGGGATCCAAGAGGCCAGTGATCCAGGAAGAGGGAAATGTCCCCCCAGTTTTTAAATCCCTATGTGGCCCACACAGCCCCCAAATTTACCAGAAGCTCTTGGCCCTGAAAAATTAGCACAAACACAAGCCCAAGCTGAGGTCTAAGTTGAAACTTGAGCTCAAAGAAGACACTGGGGGGCTGGGAATGGGGAGAGGTCCTGATGGTCAGCCAAGCCCCCTATTCCTCACCCCCTACGCCTGCCTCAGCTTTCCACCAAAGCTGCAGGGATCCAGCCATCCATCCTCGTAGGGGCTTAGCTTTGGGCGCTGGGCCAAAGTGCAGGGCAGGGTCAGGGTTATCACCTCAGCCAGGACTCAGGGCTAGGGCTGGGGGGGGGCGGAGGGTCTAGGCTCAGGGGACGGAGGTGGTGGAGCTGGGGCGGGGCCCGCCCGTGCCCAGAGTGGCCCTAAACCCTTTCACTTTGCAGACAACCAGGATCGGAGTTGCCGTTAACGGGGTCCGTAAGCACTGCTCAGACAAGGAGGTGGTGTCTTTGGCCAAAGTCCTCATCAAAAACTGGAAGCGGCTGCTGGGTGAGAGGGGGCAAGGTTGAGTTGAACCATGTTTTTCCCCTAGCGCTTGGGACGGGACTGTGCCTGGCTCATAGCAGGCACTCAGTGTATGTCTGTTGAATGACTTAATAAACAACAGATGGCCTCTGTATCAGGTAGTGAGGAGTGCCAGCGTTTGTGTACACAAGTGCAAGATTTAAATAGACGTGTGAGTTTTGTGTACACTATGTATGTATTTGTGTGCTCTTGTGTTTGTATATATAGTACATGTCTGCATATACACATTTGTGTGAATATGTGTATTTACGTCCCTAGGTGAGAACATGTATTTGCACACGTGTTCATGTTGAATATGCATGTGTGTGTGTGTGTTGGTGTGTGCAGCTGTCGTAGTCCCTGCCCTTTGCTCCTCCTCCCCAAAGTCCTGCTCGGTTCTGCTGAAACAGAACTTAGCTAAGGGGCAGTGCTACTCTTTTGTTTTCAGACTCCCCTGGACCCCTCAAAGGAGAAAAAGGAAAGGAAAGAGAAAAAGGAAAAAAGAAGGAAAAAGGGCTTGATTGTTCGGATTGGAAGCCAGAAGCAGACCTTTCTCCACCAAGGAAAAAACAAGAAGAATCCCAAAACAGGTATTTTTTTCCGGGATGGAGAGAAGGGGGCCCACACTTGTCACATTCTCTGCCAGCAGCTCTGCTTATGTTATTTCATTTAAGCCTCACAACCAGGGGTGGTAGAGGCTGATATTACCTCCTGCAGTGGCCCCTCTGGGGGTCTTCTTTGGCTCAACCAGACAGTTTAGACTCACAAGACTCAAATAGGCTCTGCATGGCACTGGCTTCACCCAGAAGGATGCAGGGACAGGAAACAGTGTGCCAGCAGGGCAGTCTCAGGCGTCTCTCATCAGCAAGAGTTGTCATAGGAGACCACACTGTGGTCCAGAGCTGTCCTATGGCCCACACAGGTGATAGCCTAGGTGCAGGGAAATGAGACCATAATGGGTGGGAACACCCCCTGGCTTAGAAGCCCCATGTCCCAAATCTTACAGCATCCCATAGACAAAGCTTCCAGATCCTAGCAAGGGCAATGCTCGCTTGCAAGATTCCCTGCGCTCAGGGCAGTTTAAAAACTGTGGTTTTCCACTAATTATTTATAGTTCATTCATAACCTTTCCTGTCTGGACACAATTTACCAATCAGGGGTCATTCGCACTATAAGCAATGTTGCCTAGGAACACAGCTGACATTCCACCTTTGTCCGGTTTCCAGGGTACACAGGGCCAGGAACTTATTTGTCCATGGAGGAGGAGAAGTGTCTTGTTAACTCTTTACTCAGCGTTCCCATTTGGCAATGAGGAGGCTGGTCAGGGGAGCAGCAACTCTCCCAAGATCACACAGCTACTATGTTACAGATCGTCACACCTCCACACCTCTGCCAAGAGGGACAAAACGGTTTTTTGTCTCAACTCTGTGCCTGTTCCATGCCCACCGTAGCCTGGGTGTTCCCCCAAACCGCACAAGTCTCAGGCCCCAAATGCCTTATCCATCACGGTGGATAGAAGCCTCCGTGGATGTATAACTAAGCCTTACCTGTTTTCCCTGTGTGACTGGAAGATCGCGTAACTTCTTCAGTGGTCTATGGATGCTCATCTAGTAAATAAAGGGATGGTGTTTGATAATACACCTACCATCCGTGATATGTCAGCATTTTTAATACACATTCCTTTTGACCCAGTGTATCCACTACAAGGAACTCATTTTAAGAAACTAATCAGATTATAGCACAAACATTATGTTCTATGTGTAACATTTTCTGCTGGTTTTTCTGAAACATTTTTGAACTCTGAACCTGTTTTAACTTAATGTTTACAATTATAACTGTGTAAGACAAGTGTTTTGAGGACTACACGTTGGGAAATGAAGCTGGGAGAGGGGTGATTCTCAACGAGAAGGGACATCTGCCTCCACCACCCCCACTCCCAGTTTTGGTTGTAAAAGAAATAACTGTGGGGGCAGGGATGCCAGTTACCCTGCAGTGCACAGAATTGTCCCACAGATTGAAGGACTATTTATTTATTTATTTTTTTGAGACAGAGTCTCACTCTGTTGCCCGGGCTAGAGTGCCATGGCGTCAGCCTAGCTCATAGCAACCTCAAACTCCTGGGCTCAAGCAATCCTTCTGCCTCAGCCTCCCGAGAAGCTGGGACTACAGGCATGTGCCACCATGCCCGGCTAATTTTTTATAGATATATTTTTAGTTGTCCAGCTAATTTCTTTCAATTTTTAGTAGAGACAGGGTCTCGCTCTTGCTCAGGCTGGTCTCAAACTCCTAAGCTCAAATGATCCACCTGCCTCAGCCTCCCAGAGTGCTAGGATTACAGGTGTGAGCCACCACGCCTGGGCTGAAGGACTATTTATTAAGTTCAAAATGCCATTAGGGTTCCCATGGAGAAGCTCTGCAGGAAAGAAGAAATTAATGACATGGGGACATGTTCACTAAGTATTAAGAGAAGCTGTGTGCAATATAGCATATATAGTATGATCCTATTTTTATAAAAAT